GAACGAAGTATCCATTGGTCTGTAAATGGCAGACTCAAAGCTATACCAACGATGATCCTATTCATAGCACACCCAAGTATGTTAGTAATGTCATGCCTTTCTACCAAGTGCAGTATATGGTCATTCTGTCAGTAAAGCATTGGGCTGCAGGCAGTCTGTACACATGGACTGTACACATTGACTCGACGCTGACTAAGCAACTACAAATTTCTGCAAATAAATGTCCCAGTTGCAGAAAAAGCAGATACTAGTGTAATTTCTGTCTCCTAACTCTAGCCCTCTCACTATCATGGGTGTCTTGACAGTGTGAAAAATATGTTTCCTATTTTAGCTATTTGTCACTTGCAAGTATTTTAGTCTAGTTCAGTCTCCATCAGATGACTTCAAAGATTGTTACCAACAGCAAACTGGGCATGCATAATATATTATAAATTAACAGCAATGTATTTAATCATCATTACTAGGTTTATATGGCTGATCATGTCAAGTATATTTTCAAAATTTGTTGACTTAACTTGAAAATATGTGGTTAAGATAGGTTTCTAATGTGTGTAACACCACAATTGTCATTGTAGAAATATCCATAATGATTGTACAAATATCCACAGCAAGTAAATTCTATGGAAGACATCCTCCTCATCAGCCTCCAACTTAATGCAATAGGGTGAAAAAAACAAAACAAAGTGGACCAAACGGGACTTTATTTTTGTATTTAACATTATCACCTGTCCTTGTAGATGTAGATGTGTATATACTTTACATCTCAATTAACAATTGTAGAAAAGATTATTCATATGGGATAAAACACCTTAGACTGTCAACACTAATGCCATCAAATGCTAGCAATTGTACCTGACGTTCGCTGATGGTCTCTGAACCAATAGACGTTTACAACATTTTGTCCATTTTTGGCATGATGTCCGCCGATGGAGGCTAACAAAATTTATTGTTTATTTTTTTTCAATATCAGGGGAAAGTCAATGCGTACACTGATGTCACCATATAAATGACTTAGTGTGGCCTAAATAGAAAACAACAAAAAGCAGTTATGACTTAATGACAAATGCACACTGATCATTATGATTGGTGGTAAATTGACAATCAAATTTTGTTTTTGTGACACCTACACATGTTCATTTTGTATTTATGCATGGAGACAGTTTTAAACACTGGCCAATGGCCATTTTACACAAGGCCAAAAAATCATTTGTCCTAGATGATTGCCAATGATTTTTTTGCTCTGTGTAATTATAAACTGGCCCTAAATCCTCTCTTCTCTTGTCTGCAGTTGGACACGGTGTGTCTTATGTCCAACTTCCACAAGAAAGAGGCAGGTGGAGGTCAGAGTCATGGCGAACGTATCATGCTGGCTGCAGAAGGATTTGGCAATAGGAAATGTTTCATCGAGAGTTTACAACGCAAAGAGGTGAGTGGTACATCTAAGTTTCGTGCCTTACAAATAATTGTTTAAAACAGGATTTTAAAAATGCATTTAAACTGAAGAGACAGGCTTTTTAAGGATAATGAAATACAATACTAAATATGTTATACAGTACCATCCTCATTATAGCTAACATTGTCAGCAATCCTACGGGATATCTTGATAAATCCCACTGTGTATCCCGCAACTTCTGAGCTTGAATCGGAGCTAACTGCAAAACCTTAGACAAGTACTACAACAAAGATTTTATATTTTTCTGACACTTACATGTACATTTGTAGATGCCAAAAATATCCTGTATACTATTATACAATTAATGTGTAAAAAAATACCTGCACTGGTGCACCCACAGAAAAAAATTGGGTGCACAGGGGGCCCAAAATCTCATCATTTCTTGGTCTCATCAAGACCTACCAACCTATAGCTACCAAGTTTCATGACAATGCATACTAAGCTTCTTGTCAATGAGTTATTATGCTGTTCACAAACAGACAGACAAACAGACAAACGGACAGACGGACAAACGCTACTGAAAACATAACCTTCTTGGCGAAGGTAATTATAAGATAATGAATTTCTGTTTGTACATGTAGTAGCAATAAAATGAGAAGAAACAAGAAGCCATAGGTGACAATTCTCCGTGAAGTATTATATATTGCTACAAAAAGAAGTAGCCATTGGCGACAATTCTCTGTGAAGTGTGATAAATCGAACAAAGAAAAATTGTTTAAACGCGCGTCGGCTCAGTCATCTTAAGACGCAACAACCAACTAGAGAGGCCGACATTTGCTTGGGAGCAAATACAGCATATTTCAGTCCATCTCCCTCCCACGCAAAAGTGGACTATTCCAAACTTACCCCAGTGTAAAACTGGCAAAGATTCTCAAATAAATGAATTATATAGTAGCGATGTAATTGACAACAAAGATGCAACAACAAGCACATTGAATCTCGAAAGCTTTACTAATCTTCTTACAGGTATGCAAATACTAACAATGATGAGATTTGATACATTTTGAAGGTCTTAGGCACATAAAATTGAATGTGTGGGTCATTACGCACGACTTACGTGCAATGTGACCTCAGGTAACCCGCAATGGAACACCTGTTCCATGGCCAACGGCAGATAGAACGTGCCATTCTTTAGATAGAACATGGAACGGGTATAGCACTTTTGGCCCTTTTTTTGCTGAAAATAGCCATTAAAGTCCCCCAAATGAGTCATTTGGAAGTGGTGTATGCCAAATATGTGACTGTTGTTCTGTAGACACATGTTCAAGGTACCCTTATACC